AAATTTACAAAGAAAACGGAAAAAGGAAAAAAAAAATCGTTTTGGTTTTTATCAGTTAAAACGAAGCCAAAACTTCATTTTTTATTTTTGAAAATAATTTTTCAATCAAAATGAATTCAAAACTAAAAACTGAAATACGAAGAGAACAACTGCTAATTTTTTGAAATTGTGACGAACTGGTCATGTAAAAAAATAGTGTCCACATGGTTGAGTATATTTGCCTAACTGCTCGAACTCGAAAATATGTCTTCTCTTTATGAGTGATGATGATGAAGCTATGTGTAAGATATTTTTGCAACACCATGTTATGCGCTAATTGCCATGATAGATGACGTGTCATTAGTAGCAGGTCCAATGTTTGTTTATGAGCATTAACTTGACATTATGTCGACGGCTAATAAGCTCTCTAAAAAATTAAATAAGTTAGTACTATAATTTTTTGCAGGGTGTTGTGACATGAACCCCATGAAATTCTTAAAGTTTGTGATTAATCCCAAGTGATGATACTGATCGTATGGTGGAGTAGATTTATTCTCGATCATCAAAGTTCATTACCTTACTGGTTTTTTAGGCATAGCGGCGGGATGGATTTAGGCCCTCATCCCATCGAGAATTTCCCTATACCATCCCATCATGTCCCATCCTACTTAAGTGGGGTTAGGGTGAGTAAAGGATCCCCTTCCCCATTTCTCTCCAATTTTTCTTTAATTTTTTCTATTATATTTAATTTTAAATTTTAAATTAACTTATTATTAGTATTAAAGGCTACATATATATAATATTTAATTCGGAAAAGAAATACCTAAATAATTGAGACAGTAAAAGACTGGACAAAACTACATTATTTAAAGACATTTCTTCTCAAGGAGTAATAGCCTTTCGGTGTGGGAAAAATGAAATTTCTACTAAAGTCCCAAGATTTAAACTGTAAGTCCATGTTTATTAGATTAAAATAAGATTTTTAACAAATTTGGATAAAAGTTGATGAATTGTGCGTTTGAATAATTGTGGATCATATGAAATGTGTGGTTAAAAATAATTGTTGATTTTGATTTAGATTTTAATCAATTTTTTAATGGTACAAAATAGGGACTAAACGTATTTCAAAGATTCCACTTCGAATTTTTTATGTAATTACATTGAAAATAAGTCTATAAAAACTTATCACTAAATAAATAATGAGTTTTACATTTGAATGGATCATGAATTGGATTTTTTGTCTTTTAGCCCTTATTTGGTTTAAATAAGAATTAGATTTTTAGTATATTTTGATAAAAGTTGATGGAATATGTGGTTAAAAATTGTGAGGTTTACGAAATGTTGTTAGAAATAATTCTTGACTTTGATTTAATTTTTATCAACTTTTATAATTGAACAAAAGATGGCCTAATTTTTAGTCCATTAGTACGATTTTTTGTATTTATATCTATTTATAAATATATAATATAATAATTAAAGGGAATCATTCCCTCGACCAATGTTTTTTACATATAATTTGAACCCTTGAATTTAATCTAATCTAATTATCTCCATCAATTATACTAAAATCTTTGAATAATTATATCCAACATCCAAACGTACCATAATTACATATTAAAAATCACTAATTACCATCTAAAAAAGCATTTTTTCCAGGGAAAAATAAAGAATCTTCCCTAGATATCGACCTTGGTCATCATCTCTGTTAGACAAATTGTTGTCAAACGATCTCCCGGGTGATGATGTAAAGTCATTGTTTATTCAGTTGGCATTGACCAAATGACTAAAGTAACATATCGACACTACAATTTGTCCAAACTAATCCTACAACCTATTTGGCCATTTGAAGTAGCCTAATTTAATCAGTGCTACTCATGATCCGACCCATAACTCTTGGATGACTTTTTTGTTAATAGCCCATTTATCCATTAACTACTACTACTTGGGCCTAATTACTGTTTGACCTAATGCCCATCTAATATCTATATATATGCTGCCCATTCCCTGTGTTAGCTGTGTGTGAAATTGTTAATTGCTTCTTCTTTTTTGTGAGTGAAATCATTCTACTTCGTGCTTCCAGCTTTGTGCCTTCAGTTTTCATCTCTCTTTTAGCTTTTGTAGCTATTATTGTGGCTACAATAATACTTCACACCATGTCCTTTGTGGGCTGGCCAAGAAAGGAACCAAGTTTGGGAGTGGTTTATGGTTTGGGTTTGAGGATTGTGGTGTTTGATTCGGTATATAGATGGTATACTGAGCCCGGAACACTTGGTGATTGAATATTTTCATTCAACATTTGGTATTAGACCATTGATTTGCGTGGATTCCGGAGAGAAGTCCATAAAAAAATGGGCAGAAATTACAGATTGAAAACTGTTCGATTTTCTTCCATAAAATCCAAACTGTAATTCCATTTTCCGGGCAAACCAATGGCCGATTGAAGAATCCAGCACCACAGGGAGTCTCTACAGGTAGAGGCACACTTGGGTCCACCGCGCGTGGTGGTGAAAGTCTTCGATGGCGACAGTGCATAAAGCTCTGACATAGGCTCGTGGAGTCGCTTCCGGCGTGGTCTAGGGAAACTTTCTTCGGACATTTTTATCCTATCAAGATTTCTAATGTGTTTGTGGTGTTAGTTTTCTGTATTAGATGATACGGTGAAATATGGATGATTTTGCCCCTACAAATTCTCGATTCAATTTTGCACTCGATTGGTTGATGCAAACTTTAGGGCGAATAGTGGTGGTCCTAAAGTGTTAAAACTATATTCCTCATAATTTATGGACTCGGATAGGTCCACTATAGTAAATTGACTAATCATGTTTAATTTTCAACACTAGCGCATCATCGTATAGGTTGACAATAAGATTGGGGTTACCGTGTGGGGTAACCATTGCATGTACTAGAAATTAGGAACTACTATTTTTTAGTTGCTATGTGAGTAAAATTCCAGCATACTATCTTTGCGATATTCATTGTGTGAAACTGTTTTGGTTAACATATCTCTTGTTGTATTGTTAAGTTATTAGAATACCTAAACCTTACCATTTGAACATTCCCTTGTTCTAAGATCGTGAATCTTACAAAATCTCGAGAATCTAATACAGTGTATATTTGTGACCGTAGGTCTACTTTGCATGGCTTAATTGTGATATTGTATTCTTAATTGATTATTAAAAATGATAACACACAATTCTGATTTAGGAACTTCTAACGGAAAATTTGATTTTTCAATCTGGCAACAAAAAATGAGAGGTATTTTGGTTCAATAAAAAAGTGTCAAAAGCTATTGATGGAAATTTTCCCACTAATTGTTTAGAAGAACAAAAAGAAGAAGCTGATGA